CTTATCTGTCTGATGCGTCACACAAATGGCTGTATAATTGTGTACATGATGATAACTTGAATGCGCGTTTCAAAAAAAACAAACGCATCTCGTTGTACGAGCCGATGGTTAACTAATTATCTTTTACAGAATACAACGACGTCACTTCCTTGTTTCTGACACAAACAGCATCTGGTGTGGGTGAGTGTTAAATTAATACCCACATCCACACCCACAACCCACGCTCCAGATATACTGTGAATCTCCTCTTATCATATTCTCTCACTCCCATCACCCTATGTAATTCATTGAAAATTATCAAATTGCTTTCAATGAAAATCAGTATCGGAGAGCCAACATCCTAGTAAAAGGCAGTGATTCCAGTAAATTTCCGACCTCACTGTTGTAGGTGAACATTATGCTAACACTATCACATCTCTAAATCCAGCAAACAAATAAAAGATATACTATAGTGAATACGGCGAGCGGACAAAAATGAACAATCTAAAGAACGTGAGAAATGAATGAAAATATACAGCATTTTTCAATATCTCTCCGCCTCATCTGGGTAGAAGATACTAACAGAATTCTTGCGCTTTTCATTCCATTCTACTGTCACAAGAAAGACATAAAAAGCGTTCTTAGGAATACTTCATATTCATTCAAATGGCCTGTTTTCTAACTTAGTTGAAAACAAGTTAAGACGTTCATAGTTCTACGACAAGAGGCAACAAACTGATTTCTTGGTTGCTAATGATTTCTGGTGATTTCTGTCAGCAGAAATCAGTTTTATGTAATCGCTGCAAATCAACAGTAGTCATTGAAGAAGCTCAGAAATCAAGAAGAGTTACAAGAAATAATTCAAAAATAAGAGGAGTCACTACGAATATTAGAAATTATCTAAAATCAAAGAAATTATTCAAAATAGTCAGAAATCAATAGAGATTAGAGCATTTGACTTTAAACTTAGTACTATTAATTTTAAATGATTTCTAATGTTTTCTGATAGAATTTTCGGTAAAGTTCAATCAAATCCAGTTATTTTATTATCCTTCATGTTTTATAATGATTTCTAGCAATTGAAATCTGTTTGTTTTCCCTTCCTCAACGATACAAAATCAATATTGAATGTGTATGTACGAGCGGAATTTTCTCTAATTTAATACATCAGATTGAAAATTCTTAAATCATAGACAAGTGAAATTATAAAAATTTGATTTTCCTTTGACATTACGAAAAGCCATTGATGAATTACAATCGCTTATTTTAGATGATTTTCTAGTGATTTACAATAATTTGAGGTGATTTATTTGAGCTAAAATGAGTTAAGACGATTTAATTTTGATTTTCAGCTAATTTATATCAGTTGTTCCCCCTTGCGTTTTATTCATTTTCTTTTTTTCTTTCATTCGTTTATTTTCCGAATTGTGCATCATCAATGAGAAAAAAGAAAAATTATTGTAATAGAAACGATCCCTGTCGAACTTGCGTCATTGTGTAGACAAAACAGCGTCACTATTTTATATTCTACTAAATATAATGTTAGTGAAAATTTTCCCACAACCAGGACTCACGAACGGAAAGAATTTTAGAATAGCAGAGAATTTCCCACAGGGGAACTTACCCACTATCATACTAGTTTTATCGAGAGTACTAATATATATCTATAAATATCATAGAAATCAGCTAGACATTGTTAGTTACTCAAATAAAGAATTTCATCGGAGGTAAATCGCTAGTAATTTAGCTTTTTAAAAACTATTCTTTTACTTTAGTCCTATTACTAGTGAAAGGAACTATGGAGCATCGAATCATAATGTCATTGCTATTGTCATGCATTGTACTGTTATTGTGTCAAGTACCCAATCAAGTTGAAGGTGGTTGTTCTTGGGAGTTTGGGTGTTCAAGAAGTGGTCGGTGCTGGGGATCATGCGGGTTAAGCAAAGCCAATTGGTGTTGGCTGGACGCTTCGCCGTGTTTCAGAAGTGCCGATTGTGGAAGATACCGTTGTAATGACTGTGCAGGTAATTGTAATCCACATGGGAATAGATGGGCATAAGAAGCTTGGATGTTTCATCTATATTCTGCACGCCTTTTTCATTTGTCTGTGGGTTCGTGCCAATCTTTTTTATTCTCGATGAGAAACCAATTCGAAAAATATTAGCGTGACCCTTGTAACTTCTATGAAAAATCATTTAATCCATATTCGAAATAAATATCTGCATTACTCAGAAGATGTCTTATTGAAAGGAACAGATCGCCTATGTATAGCGGTAGTATTCACACAATTTATCAATGCATGTCAATATTATTCAGTACCTGTTTATGTCAATCAATCGAAGATTGAGGGATATTGTTTTTCAATTGCACAATCCCCTTTGGACATATTTTAATGAAACAGAAAACAGTATCATCAAACTGTTTGTTTTTCCTATTAGAGTCCATCTGAGTTTGATAGAATTCATTTGGGATTTCTAGTCAGAAACATCTTTTTTTTTATATTGGTTTTATCAATATAAGAATACCGTATTTGTGTTGCATGTTTCTCAATCCAACAATAAGTATTTATTTATCAATTAAAATTAATGGTAACACATCAGCTCTAGCTGTTGTTGAGAATTCCAATCTAATTGAAAGCTGAAACAATATTGTGTAAGGATGAAGATAAATGCATCTATGCGACAATACCATCAGATTTTAGACTTATCCTTGTCTTCTCTCGTAGACATTTCGAATATGTTCATCTGTATCATGGTTCCAACAATATTTTCATCAACTGATAGAATTATTGAAACACTCCACCATTTGAATAAAATATTAATTTTCTATACGAACGCTCACTGCTTAGGATGGTTTTATTTTTATTGTACTTTCTTATCTCGTCCCATTTGGTTTGATGAATCTAACGAAAAAGACTTATGCGATGTGTAAACTTCTCTTGTAATCAATGAACAATTAATAAAGTTCTCTATTAAGCTTCAGAACACTTCATTTTGATAATTATATCTCCAGTAATTTGAGTATTTCCTTGACTTCTTCTTTTTATGGAAGCATGAATTCTGTGTCAAAATTCTGACAAACTTGTATTCGTCCGATTTTCTCGAGTCCCAATAATTTATCGGTCCTTCACTAGAGTTATCGAATATCAGTCATAATTTCTCCTCTCTCTTTCTTTCTTCTCGTATCGTCACGAATGCATCGTGCAGAGAGAAAGTATATAAATATCAAAAGATAAAAATGTTGTGAAACATTTGTCATCTACTAAAATCATATAATATAAATTGGACAACTGAATAAAATAGTATCAGAGAAGTAATCTTGAAAATGCCATAAAACTTTTATTACACGCTGTATATCAACCATTTATAACACTATTCTACATGACTTAGTCTAGAAAATAAAGAATAAATGATTCATACCTCAGTAGATTGTTCTTGTTCTGTTGGATGATGAGATTAATGCATCTACAGAACGTAATTTCTTTCTATTCTTTCTCCGACGTCCCATCATGTCAATAGTGGGAAAAATTCCTTATGTATCATAGAGAGAATGATAATTGTATAAGTGGAAAAAAACCCACTACTATGTCACATGTCCTAATATTTAACTTCTTCTTTAAAACACTCTCGCTGGTTTTTCTTCCTACATTGCACATATATAAATACTTCATGGCAATCACTATCTTCTCTATGTAAAACCTCGAGCTATAATTTTACACATACTCAGAGCTAAATTATTTGTTATCGTTTACTCTTTGAATTTTTTCTTCAGTTTTTCGTTGTTCATTTACATATGTGCTAAATAATTCTCTGACGTCTAATAAGAGAAGGCCCGCAAGTGTCAGGTGACGTTTTCAATTGGATGCATAGGAATTTATAGAGGTGGATGAAACTAGCAACGATGTAAAAGGATTCGCTTCAATATCTTGTCCTTCTCGAGTCATGATTGTTTTACTGAACTTTCCATCTCTAGTAAGGTATATATGAAAAAATAGAATTAAGTAATATTAACCTGAAATTTCGCTCATAGGCAGATCTCATGGTCATTAGAATGTCGTAAAAATTTCAATCAAAAAGAATGTTTTCTTCCTAGTATATTGAATGTTGAAGACAATCAATTTTCGATGTCTCCTCGTAACATATAATCATTCTCAGATATCCAATATCTCAACAAGAAAACATTATTTTTGGTTGAAATATTTAGAATATTCTAATGATCATGCAATCTGCCTGTGCGAAAAATTTCAGGTGATAATTACGTAATTACATTTTTCCATCTATGCCGTGCCAGAGATGGAAAATTCAGTAAAACGATCATAACTAGAGAAGAACAGCATATTGGAGTGGGTGTAGTGTGGTTGTTGGTATGTCACATTTATATCCTACTCATCCACCCACACTCACCATCATAGCCACACACAGACCCACCCACCCACACCCTACTAAAAGGAGGGTTCCGGGTTGAATTTGATCTCCGTTCAATCTCAATGTTCTCATTTTTCCCAGCAATATTGAATGAAATTGAATCTTTGACAATTGTTATTAATGCCTCACCAGTTCAACTATCTCAATGGCCTAATCTACCTCGTTTATCGACGTTGCGATTAAAAGGTGTGCGAAAATATAACGATATGATCATTTTTCGGCTATTACATGCAGCTACACTAACTCATTTGACAATTGATACAAGATTCGAATTAAAGTCGGTGAGTAAACTTATCTATATTCTACTAGACATGAATATAATCAAAAGTTGATGAACATATAGATGTTAATTTTGATAAGTAAATAAATGATGATTGTCAACATATATTTCCCTTTAGCAATATTTTTTCTTAGAATTTTTTCTACGTATTTACTATTTTTAGGTTAGTTTGTCTCTCAAAGTTTTCTATCCGTTGTATCGTATAATTTCCCTTGTAAAAAAATATTATTTTACGTCAGTTATATGCTCTTCGATCGCTTGATTTGGTCACAAATGAAAGCAATTGGATTCACAACTGGCACTTAGCAAACATTTCAATGCCATTTACTTTTCTGCGTATCGTCTTAGGTAGTCCATTTGATTTAATTCATCTTATGTTAACAAGACCGTCATTGACGACACTAAAACATTTGCATATTACACTAATGGATATTCGGTTTGATTTTGTCTTTCATTTACCAAATAAAGATCAATTAGTTTCCATGATACAATTACATACTTTTACATTGGTGAAATCTTTTCTGTGGATATTAAAGAATGAATTGACATCCATTGATATATTAACAAGTGCAGACATGATGCCTATGTTACGATCAATAAATTTATCAATTACTCTTAATAATGATGAACTCAATCATATTAAACAATGTTCGATTTTTAATGATCATCGATGTGTCAATGTTCATTTTGTGTTATGTATTGATGATTATGATACAAATATTCAATTGAAAAAGTTGATTCTACATGATAGTCTTTCTTATCCACGAAAAGTAATGGGTTCAGTGTTTACTGTTAATTATTGGTATAATATTGAATATTCCACAACTGTTAATCTTAGTCGAATAAATATCATTTGAAGTGAATAGTAAAAATTATTTTGATTGCTATTGTTTTAGTGTTCTCGATATAAATTTGATCAGCACGTGTTGTGATATACTCTTTCGTGGTCGTTCAAAAAATTCTTTCAATTAGCATTTATAAATCAATGCAATAATCAAAGAGAAATATATGCATCGTCTTTATCATCTAATATAATCATACCATACAATATTTCAACTTTAAATGAACAAGCCAATATTTTACTAGTTCCTAAGCTTTCTCTACCTCCTATAAGAGTTCTCTAATACAATAATAAATCTTCTTATCATTGTATTGATACAACTATCCGTATAATAATTCCAACTGATCGTATTATTGTAATAGATTGTCTCGATAGACTAAGCGACTATTTATATACAGCAAGTCTTCGTTCTATTCATATTCTTTTCTACTCTTCACAAACCTTCACTATTATTCATTGGAATTCATTACGTACACTTTCAGTTCTTCCATTGCCAAAGTCACTACGAATAACTATGTACAATTTTGAAACTATACTTGAAGATGAACATTGTCAAATTATCGTACAGAGAATACCAATACTCACTGATTTCGTCTTTTGCTTTCGACGACACATGATTTCTGTGAATAACAATAATGATTCATTCAACATTCATCTTAAATCAATTTTAAATTTACATCATCATATATCCAATTTAATTTTCGATCAACAGCCTAAGATTATTATTGAAGCAGATGGATGCGGGTTGACGATGTGGTTATGATTTAAACTTAACTAACTGACTTTCATATCAATATAATCAATTTTTCTTTTGTAGGCTAATTAGTTTCAGATGTTTGTTTTTTTTGAACATACTAATTTTATACAACTTTCAAATTCTGTGTTGTGCGCGGCACCCATATGAGCAAACATAAAAACAAAGAAAAACTTCCAAATAAAAGAAATTCAGTCTTAACTAGTAGGTATGAAGGAGAAAAACTTGAAAATATTAGATGATGAACAAATCAGTAACAGGAAAACGGATAAATTCAAATAACGTAAATCTCAGAAATTTTTGACAAATACCATATAATAACTCAATAAATTCCACTATCAAAACGAAACGAATGGAAAGCATCATCGTCGGACAATGTATTTCCTCAAGCAGTTAACTATGAAAGAATTATACACAATATATGTATACGCAAACGTCAAACGCAAAACTAGTGCCCTTTTATAATAAAATTTTAATATAAGCCAACCTTAACTTAATTGAAAATAATTTAAAATAATACAGATTAATGGAAACATTAATAATGATTTACTAAAAATTAAAATAACAGATCACTATTTAAGATAAATTTAATAAACTTAGGATGAAAATATTTCTTTTTATCCGACAAAATGTCTTGTCTACTTTAAGTAACAGATAAGAAACATCAATAATAACAACAACAGTAAAGAAGAAGGAAATAATGTATAATCATACTTCATGGGCAATCATTGCGAATCTATCAATTAGAAACAGGAAAAATTCTATTGACAGATCAAAAAGTGAAGATAATAAAGATTTGACGTCTAATGAATATTGACTATTTTATAAATGTAAAAATTACCAGATCTAAATACGAATAGACATAATTAGGAAGTTTAGGACGATAATGAGATCGTATCTCAAAAATTTGCAAGTAAGTCAGTGTCTTATTTTTTTTCTTTATTTGGTTGAGTAGTAAATGCATGTTCGAATTAACATCCCTGTAGATAATATTCTTGATCAGCAAGAAGAAACAGACGATTGTTTAATTCTTCAAAATGACTACTCAACCGTAATAGAGCCAATGGAAATCTGAAAATATAACAAATAGTATGTCTTCTTGTCGAACAGAGTTAGGTATAAAAAATTTCAATAAATCAGTAATCGGATGATTAAACTTTTTATTCTTCAAATCAAACATTAAAAGCGAGGTCATAGAAGGACTTTCTTAGTAGCCTAAATACTCACAATGATCTGCAACTGCATTTGATGCATATGCACTAAACATAAGACAAGTTAATATCCAAATAGCCATACATTTTGCTTTCTTCGTGCAACACTTGTCATTCATAATATAACCCATTGATTAACTTTTGTTGAATAATGTGCACTAATTAAAGCACGAAAAACTACATAGACACGTGTTTGAGATTGTAATTGTTGGGTTGATGTAGCGAATTCTAAAACCGTTTTATCCATTAAATGATCTGATAAACCAATATGTGCAAGGTAATAATGGCAATCGACGAAGAAGAAGTATTGCTTATGTGGTAATGTATAGGATTGTTTCTATACGTTCATATCCAACAAGTTCAATAATAATCTTATTTGATGAACATATAATTGATGTTCGATCAATCATTTCTTGTTCTTCATTTATGTTTTCATTATTGAATATATTCCAATGTTCCATTTATTGTTGGTAATAATGTATAAATATGTACAAGAATTAAAATAAAAATGATCAATATTTAAACATGTTGCTTGACGAAGTGTTTTTATTGAACATTTTTATAAACGCCAAATATGATTTGTTTTTGGATATTGACTAAGAATTAAAAGTCTTTAAAAACCAATAAATATTATTTGTTGTTTTAAATTATCATTTATATCTAATATATCATCTTTAAATAATAATGATAACATTTTTTGTTTTAAAATTATTATTAAAGATTTATTTAAATCATCTTCATGACTTTCAAGTATAAATAAACATGATGGTATATGCATTTGTTTTTGTTAAATATTTTAAACAACGTTCAATTAAATGTTGATAAAATTCATTTGATTCTTTTATTGTTTGTACAAGAAGCATATCTGATTTACATAAACCATAATTTATTAATGACATTATTAAATCATCTTCATCAAACTATGTATGAAAATATTCATCATATTTTAACTGTAGACATCGTTTATTAGGATTAGTTGTTAACTAACAAACATAAAATTCAATTAAAGTTTGTAATGAAAATATTAAATTAAGACCATAACGAGAAAATAAATGATCAGATAAACTCTAAAATGGTAGACATATATTATTGATCAAATGAATTTGAAAAATCTAAATTTACATTTGCTGATAACGGTGATGCATTATTTCTTTAGATTGATGTTAATATTGTATCATATGTAAGTTGTCTATATAATATTAAATCATCTATACCTAATTGTTCAATATTTATAAATAAATCATTTAAATTTGTTTCTAATGTTAAACATGTTTGAATATATTAACCACCAACATTAGTTAATAAAAATGGAATTAATACGGACTATCTCGAGTACGTGAACGATAAATTAATCAGACGCAGCGGAGTTCTTGGTGTACAAACGTAAAACTCGGACAAAATATTTTACATCGAACAATAAAAAAGTTTCTTAATCACTCTTTCTTTATGTAACTTTTTCAACAGCGATGTTCTGTGAAGTTTCTTCACTTGTCGAAAACTACACTTGATAGTTGAATATCCGTATTAGATCAATAAATTCAGTGTTCATTGCAGAGTACATATCGAGAGGAATCGACATTCCATAAAAAATGTAGAAAAAGTAAGGATGAAAAACAATAATTAAAGATAGCCACCAGCATTCCGAAACAACAAGAGAAATATAAACTTTCTTGTTACAAACTACCGCAAAAGTTGGCTGCGCTTGCACAAATTATTTTGGCATATGGACATGAACTCGAAGAAACATTCTTCATTATATGACACACTGAGAATATGAAAACATTTTGCATGGGAAGCAAAAACTAATTGGAAAAACCACAAAATAGAAAAAAACATTGAGATAACCTGTTTTGTGAAGCGATAATTAATCAAAAGTGTGAAAAAAACTAGACTCCAGAAAGGAATTTTCGGAGAACTTTTCCTCCACTTGCATATAATCTAGCTGTTAAAAGACGGCATCCTATTAGTGTTTCTAGCCACAGGTTACGGATGACCTCATTCTACATCAACTCACGTTTTACATCAGTGTTCAAGTGTAGAATTGTGTTGCCTGAAACATAACAAATTGATCTATTCGGTATAACCTGTTCTGCTACGAGTGTAACTTTAGCAGTACTGAGACGGCGGTTGATCTGCTTATAATGCCAACGTCTGATTGAACTTCTCGACTATGAGGATAAGTAGATTCATTGTTGAATTATTGAGGTTCCAAATCGATCGAGAAAGATTCTACAGAAAAATATTTATGCAGAAGATGAAGTCAATGATCTGGGAACCGAGAATGGTCAACGAAGCAATTTCATTCAATTTGAAACGTGGAAAATGAAGAGGAAGATAAACTAATGAGTGTCAATTAATGGCAAAAATAGCAATCGATTTCGACGGAGACAATACGATAAAAGTAAAGTATTTATTGATTACTGCATTGGATGAATCGGTGACTAGATTTGTGCTATCACTATCATAGAAATGAACATGCTGTACGTACTCGTAAACTATAAAAAAAGAAAAGAAAAGAAAACAGATAAGATTAATGTAAAAATGATTTCATGATAAACTGAGTAACAATGAAGATTCGGGAAAGAACCCATTGAATTCTATCTGGAGTTTCTTCAGAGAGACAATCGAAAGAAAATGTCTATTAATTCCTTTGAATTATCATTGTGCAGCATTTTTTTTCTAAAATTTCTTCTTTTGTTAGACTATTTGTAATTTGTCCATTATCATCATTATTTTCATTAGGTGGATTAATTGTAGCTAAAAACGTTATCCAAGTTGTTTGAAATTGTGTTCATTGATAACCATCCAACAAATGATATTCGTTCGATATAATCAGTCATTATATCTGAATGTTGTAAAAAATGAACAGGAAATAATGATAAACAATAATCATTTATACCAAATTGTAATTTATTTATATCTTGATGATGTTATTTCCAAAAGTGTGTTGGTATACATATAAATAAATGAATTAAATATTAGTAAACGAAATAATATCGATCAAAATGTAGAATAGAATGAATTGTTTTTTGTTAAACAAAGAAAAAAACTTTCAATTAAATTTCAACTAAGAAAAGATTTTTTTTTTTGAAAGATATTTAGATAAATTATTTCTAAGATAAATATTATAAAATATAATAAGTCAGGTGTATTACCAGAGAAAACATTGACATGTTAACATTCGTATGATTTTTTAATTGTTTCAAAATAAATATAAATAGAATCAAGTAAAGCAATTAAATACGGTTGATTAGCTGAACATAATATAAAAGAATTTCAATATAAAATGTGTCAAGTATTGATTCATCATCATTTAAATTTATTTCACTAGGAATTAATCGTTGAACTGATAAGGAAAAACGTAGATCATTTATTTTTGTTTTAATTAATCCACTTGTTAAAGCACGTCATAGTGATGAAATATTAATGCCAAGTACATGACGATGAGGCATTGTGATAATCATAGAAAATTCTAGAAAAACTCAAATTTTAAAACAGATAGAAATCAATAAATTACACATTCGATTTACCGGTGACGCCATAAATGATGATCATTTTTTATAAGTAACAATTTTAATTATTTGAGCATAAATTTTTGGTGTTATATCCAATGAACAATGAACTTTTCATATCCAATTAAGAACAAAATCTTCATCATTACTATTAAGATTTTTAAATTCTTGTTTAACACCATCCATTGAAATCTCTGATGTATAATTTATTTTTCCAATTAAACATTGTATAAGAGACCAAATAAGTTCATTTGATTTAATATTATTTTTTGTGATGATGATAATGTTGGTAAAATAATTAGTAAACATTTAGACATTAATTAATTATTTAATATTTGTTCATCAAGTGCTAACATCATTTCAATAGGACGACCAACAATTAATTCAGTTCAACAGCATATAGATATATACTATAATGTAAGAAATTGTTCAATTAATAAAACTAATAAAAGACCATTTTCATCTAAATGTATTCCTTCAAGTGTACGAAGAATTTTTAATGATAATAAAATTTTCCAATTTCTATATAAACTGATTCAACAATAAATGACTTGCAACAGATATGTACAATGTCTAAGATCAAATACATATCACAAAATGATTGTAATTGTCTTCTAATAGATAAATGTGTTATAAATGATGATGGTGTAGGAATAGGTAACATTGATAACCAGAGTAATTTAAAATATTCACTTAATATAGGTAAATATATGAAAATGTATCAAGATAATGAACTATTTCATCACTTTCATCGTGAATTAATAATTGCCAAAAATCATTTACAATTGTTCGAAATTGTTTAGTTAAAATATGAGGATAGGTAAATTCTGAAAATAGTTAATGAGTAAATCGCAGATCTCAAAGCTAAGATAATTCAAGTTTCCTAGGACAATGTTCACCTTAATAGACGATAACCTATGAGCAAAATTTGATCACTACAACTTTATTTATTCAGCCTATATGTTTATTTTTCTCTTCATCGTAAACATCTTCTATGATATTCTGTATTTTCTTTGAATAACTCTTTACCATTTTCAACGATATACATAAGTAAATAGAGATAATCTGATGTAAGAGAAACCAATGTCATATCGACTCTATCATGTGATTGTTGAATATTAGTTAAAAGATGTAATATGACATCATGTAAAATAGGAAGAAGTGCTCTAAATGACAAAAAAAAATTCGAATATTAATTTTCTATAATTATAATAAATAATTTTTGATACTTATGTACTAAAACTTTCATCACATGTATCATTTGTTGATGACAATGCATCTTTCCATCGTGATAATATAGCATCTTCAATTCAACTTTAAATTAGACATCGAAGAATAATATTTATATTCATTAACTATCGATTTATTGTATGATGATTGAAATCCTACAAAAAATTATATACAAAGAAAATTAAAATGTAATGAAAAACAAAACATTTGATATTAAATGAACAAGAAGTACATTAATAATTAGTCGTGAAAGACGTTTCCATTTGTCAACTTCACTTCGAACATTACCAACAATCAATGTTAGCAATTTCAAAACCTATAACAAAATAATTATCCTATTTCTTCATATCATATTGAATTACTTTATTATATCGAACAAGTTCAAATAATGTTTGAACAATAAACATTCGCTGTACTTCTAATTCTTTATTATCAGTTTTAAGTCGAACAAGAAATAAATCATATACAACTGGTTCTATTGCAGATAAAGCTATGAAAAAAAGAAATATATTTCTTAATAATAAAGACAAATAATATTGTTTAATTAACCCGGAGTAAAAGCAGTTGTACAAGTAAATCGAGTACAGACGGTTGAAATTCCGCTTCATTTGAATTAACATATTTTTTAAGACTAAGAGTAACCATTGGTTTACATAGATGAATATAATTGTCAATTTTTTTACGTTCTGTTCGATTTGGTGGATGTTTTAAATGTTCAACTGTTTCTTGTTGTTTTTTACTTAAATAAAAACTATACGAAAAAAAAATTCTTGTTTTGATCTCAATTCTAATCTTACTCTTGTATTGTATCATTTTCTATTCATTGATCACTATTAATACTTGATGTATGACGTGATCCGAATAAATAAATCACTGGTTGTCGAAAAGTCATTGTATGAATATTAATCAAAGAATTATTTGATGATAATTGTGAAAGACAATTTGAAGGTTTTGTTTGAAGAGGCGATGGAGGGTGGGTGTAGATGTGGATCTCATTCTTGTCTGCTTGCACATCCACATCCTCTGAAGACGAGTCTCTGAACACTCAAAATAACAATTCCGTTGATTTAGAAATAAATTTCACATTTATTATTATTAAAACTGAAAACAAAACATTTTATTTATGGCATATTGATAATCGTAATGCGTCAACATGACTTAAAACAGTAATGCATTTTCTAACATAAGGAAAAACGAAGCAGAGTTTTTTTTCTCAAAGCAAACATTTCCTATGTCTCTATTTTATTCAATTCAGCATTTCTTTTCTTTTCTCAGTTGTTTTTCTCTGGTTTATGATGTCTTAATCACCTATGAAATTTTAATGAATAAGAAAGAAACATCATTCAGTGCTTTATTTATCTTTCAATATGGTTTAGTTATCGATTCTTGATACATCGAATGAAAATTCACTACAAAAAATAACCACACTAGAATAAAAATTTTAAAAGCACTTTCTGGTTCGTTTGACTAACACTAAAAAGATGTGTAATATTGTCTTGATAGTCTTTTAAAAATGCAACAATACTATCATTCTGAGACAATATTTTACTGTTTTGTTTCATGATCGTATCTAACCGACAGATATATTTTTGATTTTCTTCTATGATCTGTTGAACTGTTTTCAACTTCATTTTGAAGTAAAATTCGCTCCCCAATTGCAAACACTGAAGCCACATGATGAATAAGATGGTCATTGACATTTTTCTTCTCACTAGTTCCTCCTACAGGGTCAACAGATGTATTCATATGTTTTACAAATCCATTATTCCAACCTGAATCCAAATCTTTTTCCCCATGTCGACCTTTACCAATATTTCTCTGAGAGTGTGGGTGTGGTGTCTACGTCAAGAGAGGAACAATAACCGCACGGACGCCTAACATCTACACCCTACCCTTTCTGATTGGTCGCCTTCCTAGTCAATGGAAAGGTCGAATGTAAAATCCGACCTCAGATATGGATTTTCTGGTCTCAATTACTTTGGAAGAAACTTTAGAACTTACGCCTAAATAAATTTCACCTCTGATGTTTTTTGACCTTGACTCATACACAGAAACGCATTTTATTCTTTTTCATATGATCCTCCATAAAGTCGAGGGAATGAAAAGCTTGTGTTTTATCAACAACTCGTCGAAAATAACGCCTCTGTAGATATTTAACAACAAAATAGTAGCGATTGAACACTCGGTGCAATGATCAATATACAGTAACAATCAAGTTTTAGACAAATACTTAAGTAAAAACATTACAAAGTTTCAAAACTGTCAAAAACATCTAAATCTATGAGGTAGATGACTTACACAATCTATTAGTGACTTAATTTTTTTAAACAAATCTGAATATTGTCAAACAAAGTCCAACATAGTCTCTTACAAGACGGTTCAATAAAAAACGAATTCGATATAAGCATTTGTATAATAATAATTTCTGATCTATACTCGTGAATTCACAATGATATAAAATCTTTTTCTAAATCAATTTTATTTATTTTTTTTTATTTCCAAGAAAAAAACGTGTGCTTTATTTTTATTAACTCATAGAATTGATTTGATTTAAGTTTTCGTCTTGTCGAAAAAAATCATTCTTTAATTGGCAGAAACACAATTATTTTTTTTTTATTATTTTTATCGTTTACCTTACACAAACTATAATTTAAAAAACTATTTGAAAATAAATACCGAATCAAAAATAGTGAAACCAACGACAAAATACTACATGATTTTCGATCATATCACTTGAAAAACTCCTCATTTCACATAAATATTTGCAGACGCGGCTACATGAATATATACTTTATGCAGTCAAATGGATATATATGATCAATTCATCGTATTGAATTTGAAAAATGAATTTAAGAAAATTTTTTTCACTTCTGATCAGTGCCTCGAGATTCATAGAATTAAAGTCACAAAAAATAGTAGTAAACAAATAAAACTGACTAATGTTAGTTATTCATGAAAGATCAAAGACGACTAGATCATCTTACAAGTTTCGAGGTGCAATGCATTGCTTCATTAAAAGTTATTATTTTCTTTAAGAAACGTCCATTTTTTGTTTTATTTTGCAAATAAACATAAACTTTACTGATATTTCTATAATGTCCTGCTGATCTTCCTTCCTCATCATCTCATCTTTCTATGCTGCTTTTCTGCAATCATTTCACTGTTTTTTTTCTCTCCTTTGTAAGTATGTGTTGAATGTGAAGTAATGACATACTGGAGATGTGAATCTACTAAGTGAATTTCAGCAACGAGAGTGGTCGTATACTGCTTCGTCAGCTTTTTCTTACAACAATAAAGTGGTCTTTTTCTAAGATCGATTTTTGATATACAAGAAATCATTGGGTGATGTAAAAAATGATATTTTGGATCGTTACAAAAGAGCTCATTACTTCAAAATATTTAGTTTTTAGTAGTGCTTTAGAGAACATCAAAGGAGACCATCTCACTTGAACTGACAGCTATCTTGATCATTGCAAAAAACTAAAGAGAGGAAACTCATGTCAACAATTTTTTGAATAATCGATAAAGGGCTCTATATAGAAGAAGAATAACTATGAACCGAAAAAAACGCATTCGATGATAGCACGCGATGAAAAATTCCTGCTGTCTTTCATTTGCAAGACGTGCTCGAATCGACTTAAAACAAATTTTCCAAACTATAGAATGCGATCATCATAGATTTCCAATGTTGCTTTTGATGAATACGTTCACTTCCGTTTTTTTTTTCTTTTATAATTTTTCATTGAGTATGACATATGAACAATTAGTTAGTAAGTAGGATGCACTTTGTTGTGACTGATGACACTTTTTTCCACTCAAATTTTATTTAGTTTTGAATTTTCTTTCTAAACGAAGTCCATCGAGATTGAAATTTCTAATAGGCTATTTTTCCAGTTAGTAATACATAAAACCTACTCATGAATTATACGAAGTTATAGTATGCAATAATAGTTCAAAAATTTTTCTACTAAATTCTAGTTCGTTTAGTTCTGTAGCTAATGATTTAATTTCACGCGTTCTGTTTATTTTCGCTAAAGATAACATTGTCAAAATACAAAGTATCTGAAACTTTTGATTGAAAGAGAAATAATAAAAATTCTTTATGTTTCTTTATGCTACATTCTATAAGATGAAAAATTGATGCTTTGTGAAAACATGGACTGTAAGTTTATCTCGTGCTAAATAGAAACATTGACGTAAAAGTCTTGAAACATCACGGTTCACTTTACAATTCGTAATGACTCTGTGAGAAAGAATATAGTTACGTTTGCTGTTCTCTCGCTATTTTTTTGTTATTTTTTCTTCAGTTGGTAGTATCTCTGACTTGATTCTTTCTTTTTTCTCGTCGACGTATGCGTTCAGTATAGTTGAATGATTATAAATGCATGAGTTATCCTATCTCATGTTTTCAGTTAACAAGTGCAAAATATTCTAATGACAGTATAGATGGGTTTATAAGTCAGGATCTTTCATTGAAACTTTATACAAATTAGAAAGAATAAAACTAGCGAACGTCACTATTGTTGTTTAGTTACTTCCATTTCATTATCATTGATGAATGGATTTCTTCCAATAGGAGATCGAAATCAAATCGAATCAAATTTGTTTCATTATAGTCAGCTCATAATGAGTTCGTTATTTCTTATATAGCGTTTCGGTTGAGCGCAGGCTGAGTGACATAAAAGATGATCGCTAAGAGAAAAACCATGTTGTCTTTTCCTCTGGTTCGGAAGAGCAACAACTAGACGCAAGTCTAACAAAAACGTATTTCTTGTTCACTTCCAAACAAATTTCAATCACACCGTATAGCGTAAGGGTGAGTACGGTATGTGAGAAATGAAAATGTGTCCTATCGAAAAGACAAGTAAACGATCTTATCCATTACTATAGTAACTGTCACCTATTTGTTTCATCGAAATATTAAGAAAAGATGAAATAATATTCATTGTGAAGCAGCAACATCTTCAGTCAGCAGAAGCCTAAGTATGAAAAACTTTTCGATGAGTTAGTACGTGATCTGCTATAACATTTTATACGAAAGTATAAGAATCTACTGAACATTCTTATTTGTACTTATATTTGATATCCTCTGTTCTTGAATAGATTGTTAGTTACTTCCAAACGCCTTCTGCATTATTTCTCCACAGTACTAATAAAAACTCTGAGAAATTTTTCTTTGAGCATTGCGGTCTATTGTTGTGCATCTATCTGATTCGACTGATACTGACCTAATTATTTATTACATAGTACTATGAACGAGCCCCATTTCATTGACAGCGACAATCACTAAAAAAGTACGTACTGTCTCTTTCGTTTCTTTTTCACCATAAAAATGAATAATCTTTATGGCTAAATTAGTTGAAGAAGAAAATTCAATGTCAGTTTGTTCGTTGAACACTTGATAATTATAATCAGTATGACAACTCCATAGAATTTAGTAAAGCTTCATGACATTGTTTGTTCACGTGAATTATACGACGTTGAATCTTAATTTCTATGAGTTGCTTCGGCCTTGCTCCAAAGGTTGTACTAAACTGATGGCATATATGGTGAATGTTAGTTGTATCAAGTTTACGAAAGATGAAACAGCTGTAACCATGACAATAGAGTTTCACTTGTGTAATAGTTCTTGGTTAGAGTCTTCACTGATTCATATTAGGTATTCGGCTTGTCCGAACGTTATGCTTTGGTACATTTTCGACAATGTTTTTTATATTATCTCGAAAACTTTGAGGACTGAGAAGCTTGTTTGTATGCCGTTTGGCGTAATTTATTGAGTTCAATTCATTCGATAAAAACGACACTTTTCGATAAAAGTCTTGAGCTTTCAGAGAGGGTTTATAATCTCGTAAAACTATGACATAAGAAGAGCCTTAGTTTTGAGTGCACTTACTTAAGTTCGAATTTCGTGCGAGAGACGATCTTCAAATGAACTATTCCATGAGCCAACTTTGTAAAGCATGAAATGAGCTTTTCAAAGGTTAAACAGTGTTCTTCACGCTATCGTATCTCGTGCAAGAAGAGCAAAAACAAAACGTGACGCTGTGATTCATTTTTAACCTAAATTGATATCTTTTATTTTATGGATTCATGACACATCTGAATCGGTTGTGCCACCATCTAAACAGAAATTTCTGCGGTCCTAGTTTCTAACAATCGCATCAACCCCTGGAAACATTTTTCAGGTCTCTGTGAAGGTTAAATTTTCCCTCTGTAATAAAGCCTATCGTTGTTGTAGATAAGAAACATATAATCATGAGCTTTTGTTCTGAACTACACGATCGCTTTTTACTCCGGACTATCTGCTTAATGTAAAGTCCATTGAAAATATGTCAAAATCCGAAAGACTGAATCATCTTAGGCAGCTACATGGTATACACCGTGTCATATGATAAATTTCTGGTACAACATCTATAAGTTTCGACAATAGATCTAAGGCCTTTCACCATTTTCGAACTCAGTCTAAACTCAAGAGTAATTAGATAGTTCAAAATGTTCTCTCAATATGTACGAGTAACTATGATTGAAATTAATCATATTCAGAAATATGGGAGCAAACAAGAATTTAAGGCTGTGATAGCAGTATTGATCAAGATTTATTTTCAGAAGTTTTCAACATGAAGAAAAGACGAAAGTTCGCTATTTTGTCGAAGGACAGATAGCCCATAATAGTTTACAAAGAATTTGATTGAGAGGTTACGGAGTTATAAACACCAAGGTACAAAGTATGCTGTAAAATAACACGAAAAAAATTGCAACGGGTAATATGGCAGTTAGGACTGAGTCTATAGATTTTAAAGACTTACAGAAATAATGTTCCGAGTAAGAAAACCTATTGTCTTACACTTTTGAATGTGCTCTACAACGTGATATAAACGCTTGCTTAGAATTTTGAAATAAATACTTAGTGTTTAAAGTAGCGTATTGCATGAACGAGTCACAGTACTGATCAACACTATCAATGGGTTGCAAATCTAGATTGAACTATAAGTGCTTATAATCACCATTACCAATAAGTCATCCAATTTTGAATAATGTCTCGTTTTAACATTTAGTTTTCGACCCTTTCCGAACAAATCTATACGATCGCTAATCATATCAAACTCGTTGAGTTACAAGGATCAACAAAAGCATAATAGTTTATGAAAATACAGAGCATATTTTCCTAGCGAAACCCGAACTCACCAAACTTTTGTCATTCGTTTCGATATCGAGTTCTAAATCATTCTGTTAAGTTGCAGGAC